ATCAGTATCTGTATCTGTATCTGTATCTGTATCTGTATCTGTATCTGTATCTGTATCTGTATCTGTATCTGCATCTGTATCTGTATCTGTATCTGTACCTGTATCTGTATCTGTATCTGTATCTGTATCAGTATCTGTATCTGTATCTGTATCTGTATCTGTATCTGTATCTGTATCTGTATCTGTATCTGTATCTGTATCTGTATTTGTATCTGTATCTGTATCTGTATCTGTATCTGTATCTGTATCTGTATCTGTATCTGTATCTGTATCTGTATCTGTATCTGCATCTGTATCTGTATCTGTATCTGTATCTGTATCTGTATCTGTATCTGTATCTGTATCTGTATCTGTATCTGTATCTGTATCTGTATCTGTATCTGTATCTGTATCTGTATCTGTATCTGTATTTGTATCTGCATCTCTAGTTTCCCCCCGACCATCCTAAGCCTATTCCCAAAAGCTATATCCACATATTTAAGATCCGAAAATTCAGTTTATTCAACTCACTCGCTATTTTCGAATCGATATATTCTTTAGAGAAAATCTGGTAATTGTCCTGAAGCCAATGAGAATGAAACTTTTTTAATTACGAAAGTTAGCAGAGGAAGTTTAGCAACAGGCTGGATTCGGCTCAAGATCAATGTGTTCACCATTGCCTCGCAGATATACTGCTATAATGTCAAGTGTGCGTGTGTGTGTATGGGAGCGCAGAAGCCGAGCGGAATGCAAATGTGCTCGTTAATATATACAAATAAACGCCACCTGGTCCACACAATTGAGAGCCTGTGTGACTGTGCACAGGGCACTCGTATGCGGTTATTATAAATTGAAATTATAAAGCGGTCCCAACTCGAGGGACTGCAAGTCTTTTGTTTCGTTCATTGCGAATTGCCTCTAATGTGCTACCGTGTGTGCGTGCGCGCACAATGTACATCCAATATATATAAATATACACATACACATACATACGTATATGTGCTATAATATTTATATAGCAAAAGTCCGATGTGGTACGAAAACTTTTTGTTCTTTGCTGCTGAATTTTAAATGGGCTTCGCCCGCGGGCAATGAAACAAATGTAGTTACTTGAAATCCGTCTATTTGGCTTTGTCCCGCTTTGTTTGCCTTTGTTTCGTTGCGTTTCATTTCGATTTGTGAAGTTTTCATATCCAGCACCCATTGCAGATGGCCTTAAATGGGGTATGATGGCATCATAAGTGGGAATATAGATCACAGAATGACTGAGAGTCTCGGCTTAAAGATGCGAAGTATTACCATGTACAGTTGACAAGGTTATTGAATACTATCCATCGGCAGCCAGTCTTTGACCTTATCTCAAATCATTTCAAATAGCCAAAGTAGGAGCAGGAGCTGCGTATAGGTCAACTACTTTTATATGGTAGCACTTAGTTCATCTCTTAGTTGAGTCTGACTTGTTATCTCTTCACCTCAGCGCCTAACCTCAGGGGTGCAAATACAAAACATATTTAATTCACTTCTTCTCAGTCTTCTCAAATAATGTCTAAGCACTAACCATAGCAGCGGAGCTTCGCTGATTTATCACCATTTTTGGCTATAGCTAAACATCTTAGCCTTCTAGAAGACCGCTTCAAGGACAGAGTGACCCAGAAAAAGTCATTCCCCTCCTAGGACTGCTGTGGCTCATTCAACATTTAAAAACACTCTGCACTTTATGCTGGCTATAAAGGGCAATACAGTCATACATATATGTATGTGCATATACATATGTACAGCAATTAATTTAATGGGATTTTGTAATATTTATTAGTCGAACGTTTAAAAATATTCCACATGAACAGTTTTTCACATTCGACGACGAGCAGCGAGCTGCCGCAAATTTGTTGTCAACATCATCAATCAAATGTCTTCGAGTATCTAGATACATATATGTATAAGTGTAAGCACATAAACATGTGTGTGTGAGTGTGTTTGTGTATATTCGAATGAATTGAGTGTGTGTAGGTGTCACGTTTCACGCAGCTCTACCAGAGAGATACTTACACAATCACTTATGTATGTTAATATGCGCTTTGTATCTGCAAAGAGAGGGAAAAACTATGTACATTATCCAATTTGAAGAAAGTAAATATACAAGTTGGCAAAGATCATTGCCTTTAACTGAATACATAAATATTTAAAGAGTAATGTCTAGAGTAGGTGTAATAGCAAATACATTGCACATTTTGAAAATGAAATGGAAGCATCGTAGGCGGGCCTTCATAAGCAATTCAACTTTCTCAAATATAGCCTAGGAATCTGATCCAGCTGTAATACTTGGCTATTTCTACACACTCGGTCAATGAAGTGATATACAGTAGAATCAAGCTATAACGACTCCGCTTATAGCGTCCGTACGGTTATTGCGATACAAATTCTAGTCTCAAGTCCAACTTATACGGTTAAAACGTCTTCCGGATATAACGACGGTCTTTTAAAGTATACTGTATATTGGTTTTGTGCTTGCTACTTGAAATATATGCTCAAGGAAATAGATATCCCCGCTGGTATCTGATATTGTTGCAAGCCTTTCGCGAGCTAGGGGCATTGCAAAAAGAGAAACACCATATCTGGATTCTCAGTGATAGAGACTCGGATTACATACTTGCGGTGACCACCCAACATAAAAAAATAAATAAATAAAATAATAATAAAAGAGTAAAGTGGAACATATGTATATAATGGATGTATCTACATCCCAATGGCCCAATGGACCGCTAAAATCTATATCTTGATTTAAGAGCTAAAATAAATTATATTGAGATAACTTAGCTAGAGTTTAATTTAGTTATTTAAATAATTTAAGATAGTTAGTTATTTATTTGATTTGAGACATTTATCAACCTAGAGTCAATTGAAAGATATGCTATTAAAAAAAGATTTTATAGCCTAAGGAAAACAACACCTATCAATAGATATACCCTAATTCACAGCTATCTATAGTCAGTGATATTATTGAACTTAGAAAATAAAGAGAGTCAAAAGAAGCTCACAAATAATTATTAAAATCAAATAATATAAAAGATAAATCAAAAATAAGTTAAAGCTCTAGCTCATGCACCAAATGGGTATATATGTGACCTGCGTCTTGGGGGCGGGGAAATTAAACTGCATTACTCAATGATTCAAAGCTGAACGCGTTTCGAACATGACTGAAATCTAATCCCTAAGATAATGTGCCATTCCAAACTCGATATACATATATCATTCTTCAGTAAATTTTTAAGAGGAGTTCACTTTTTTTAGCTTACACTTGGACAATATATATAACATATTTTTGTAGTTGTTGATTGTTAGCTCTTTAGCCATAGAGCATGCCCAATTGCTCTTTAGAGCACATGTTTCAAACTGTATAGTTCGAGGGGAATTTGTGCACATGATTGAGAGGCATCTTCAGGTAGTTGCTCATGTCTCAGAGCTTTGAAGTTGGGCTGGAAGTCGGTCGGCCGCAATTAGACGCGTTGTCCGAGCAATCGTTCAAGACGGATGCTTCAGAGAAGGAGGGGGCGGGGTAGAATGCTTGACAGCGTAGCAACACGTCCGCCATGTTGGCCAAATCCAACAAGTTAAATTGAATTAGATGTTGCTTAAAGTTGAAGGCCGGACAAAGTCAGCGGCTGCGTGGATATCCTTTAAGCCGGCAGGACTTTCCCATTGTCTACATATTTGCTTTGGCTGTTTCAACTTGGGCACTTAGTGAGCGCTGTGCGCGTACTTTTGTGCGTGAGTGTATGCGGTAAACAGGCCAGAATTCGGCGACAGCTGCAAATGAATGAGGCAAATAATTTCAAGTTGATGACTGAGGCAAACGTTTAGCGCCTTTGCATTTTTCTTTGAAATTTGCTGCTTATGACACGCCCCACGCCCACGCACGCCCACAATTGTTGTTGCTTGGCTTAATTTTCAACTTCCAGTTTTTATCTGCGCTGTTTTTCATTATTTTATTTTTGTTTCTCCTGCTGCTGCTGCTGTTTGCGTATCAGCCGTTGCAGCATTTGGCGTGCGAGCAGGAGCAGGAGCAGGAGCAGGAGGCGCTGCGTCCTGCACAAGTTGTGTCTGACAAATTAGGTAGCTAAACACAAATATATATAAGTAGATGTATGTATGAATGCTTACACACACACACACACACACACACACACACACACACACACACACACACACAGAGTTTAATTGATGAGTATAAGGGATGTAAAGTGAGTTGTTTGCGTGTCAGTTGCTTGACTATTTCATCTTGAAGTGCGCACTTCACTCGAGTAATTTGCCCAACACACACACACACACACACACACACACACACACACACACACAGAGGGAGAGCATACAGTGGCTGCTATTTAGATACACGCACGTGCTTAGATGTGCTGACATTTAGATTGAAAAACGAGACCCAAAAGCGAAGGCAACATATAATCGAAAAATGCCAGACGTAATAATACAAAGCAATGTTTTCATACGGCTGCCGCCAGAGGGCGTTGCAGGTGCGCGTTTAGTGTAAAGTGTATATATGTGTGTGTTTGTGTGTCGCAGGGAGTGCGTGTGGCAAGTGAAGTGAATTGAAGCGTATGCTAAATTTTTATTGAAGTGCATACAAACAAACGGGCTCCAAGGCAAAGGCAAAGGCACGACCAAAGGCAAAGGCAAAGGCAAAGGTAAAGGTACTACCCATTTCACTGGCAACGGTAAAGGCTGTAGCAGCTGCCACGGCGACTGTTGACAGTGTCGACGCTTTTGGGTTAGGCCGACGTCTCGCTGCGCGCTGGTAATTTTCCTGTGTCGCAGCAGCAGCGGCGGCAGCAGCAGCAGCAAAAAAATAAAAGTGAAATTTACCGGGAAGCAGGTGACTTAAACACAATTTAAAACGTTGCCAAAGATTGAGCTCAACTCCAGCACAGCAGCTGATCGAATTGCGAATACCCCGCACACAAAGTTGAGGCTGCGAGTGTCAATCAGTCACTGAAAATCCACTGCTAGGTATCCTTACTTCTATCAGTGCCCACTCCAGTGAATATTGCTTATCAATCAATGTGTGTGATACGATATGCGATGCCTTTGCCTTTGATCTAGCACTTACAGGGTATAGGCGGGTCGGGTTGCTGCCGCGCACACAAAGAGCCACACAGAAGTTGAGTTCAAACACTCAATCATTTTTACACCCCAGCTACGGCAACAACAGCAAACATTTGTTGTCAATACACAAACACGCACATCCATACACACACACACACACACACACACACACGCACACAGTGTTGACAAGGCAGAGGCAATACAATAATAACAAAGCAGCAACCACCCGCAGCAGCAGCAGCAACAACAACAACAACAACAACAGGTGCAGTCTACCGTATTTGACTATAAATAAATTTTAAATAATTTTTGCGAGCTGCTGCAAAGCGTTTGGGCGCCCTCAGCTGTAGTGGCCGGGGGATGGGGCGGCTGGTGGGCGTGGCTGGTGCTGTCAACATGTAGCCGTGGCCAATGCCACCAACTAAAACAAAATGGCTGACATTTTTAGCTACCTGGAAATCTGTATGTTGTCTGTGTGTATCGGGCGAAGTTCTGTAAAAAATAAATGAAAAACCAGTGAAAGGCCGGGGCTAACCGCTCGATAGATACCCTGTATGCTGAATTTACCACTGTCAGAGCCAAGAGATTCTGCTAAATATATCGAAGGCTCCTTCGTGCTCCCTCGAGCTAAGCGACCCCATTGCGGCGGGTGTAAATTTCAAGCAGCATCAAAATGAAATTGATTCTGTTTGTGAGTTGGAAACTCTCGCAATTAAATGCAGTTTTTTGCATGATTAGATTATTGTATCAATTGGGTTACAGCCACAACTAATTCAGTTATTGGCCAACACTGGCCGGGGACGGCGTCGCCGTTGGGCGCTGGGCGCCTGCCATGAATATTTATTATTAAATTGAAATATATATGAAACATAAATAATGAAAAATCAATACAAACTTATTTATATACAGATTCGTAAACATTCAGCTCTGAGGCGAACGGCCAGCTGCTGCTGCAACCAAATCGTAGCCAGGCACAGAGCGCGCAGAGCAATGGATGCGTATACTTAATATTACATTCAGCTCGGAGAGAACGATAAACGCTGATGGAATAGATACACATAATACTCAGAATACATGAATGCTTGCATGGAAATTGCACTTAAGATTATGTTCAATGTCTATATACTTATTAATTACATAATTGTGTGTTTATTATATTTAATTTTGTATTAATGAGTTGAGTATTGAGAAATTGAATTATTCAACTTAATCAGCTTCAACACGCTGTGATTTCTGTGATTCAACTTCTTGTGATCACCCGCAAAATATTAAAGGTAAAAAATAAATTGGAATGAAGAAGCGTTTATCTTAGATATGTAGTGCTTCTTCATTTCAACACAATATCAAATCGAGTTTGACAACTGTGAAGTAAACAAATGGGAGAATGGAAATCGAAGTGCCATGAATCGGTTTACTCCGCAAGAACGGGGCATAATGAATGAATGTAGCATAACCGATTAGTTATTCTCACAGTCCCTTAATCACCTCGATTTAACCATTTCAGAATTGTAAATTCTGGACTAGATTTAATAGATTCAAATGAATTCAATAAACACATTTACACGCAGAACAAGAGTTGTTTAAGTTTGTTTTCGGGTGATTAATTTTGTAGCAAACACCATCTACATAATATATTGATAATATATACGCTGCATAACTATTAGATTCAGCTGCAGTGAATATTATTATATACTATTAGCGTAGCAATTCCAGCTTAATGCCACTTCATTAGCTCTAACCAAGCGGAACACACGCAGAGCAGCATCCTTGCATGAGTGCGAGTGCAATTTATCTCTTGTTGCTGTTGTTGTTGTCGTTGGTTAGTGAATTGAATTGAATTGAATTGAATAAAATTGCAATTTGAGCGACATATTCAATGAAACGGGTCGAGAATGACAGCTGGCTGACTGCATTCAATGAGCACCTGTCAGCCAAGACAGCCGGAGCACAGAGACTAAGCCAAATATGC